TATATATATTCTTATAGTCTTAGCTGATAAATACTGAAAATGTTTACATCAGTTTTGAATTTACTAGCTTTTAAAAAATGTAAACTATAATACCATCTTAAAGTCCCATACAAATCTCTTGATTTTTTTCACTTTGAGCTTTAAATGAACAGAAGACAAGCAAGGCCATGGCTGTGCTGTGGAATCCATTCATCATAAAGAATTTGCATTGACTATAACTGAGTGCTATTATTGCAAAAGTTCTTAAAAGGGAGGGTAAATATAAAAACACAAGAATCATTGAGAAGAAAAATATTGTAATAATAATAATAATAATAACAATTTCTATTAGAAAAGAAATAGTAGAACCATACTATTCAAAATGTCTCAAGGAATAGGCAATTTGGTGTCCTCCAGATGCCTTAACTTTCATCAGTTCCAGGCAAATGGCAAATGACAAGAATTGTGGAATTTGTTGTCCAAAACAGCTCGTAGGCACCAGATTGCTTGGTTCTGACAAGTTGCTGCGCCTAAACTCACTTGTATCCAAAGACAAGCATAGCATATCTTGCAAAATCCAGATGACTACTAGATGACAACAAAGAGTGTTCTGCTATCTTTTTGTTTCCATTTAGGCCAGATGTTTGCAGCCCAGATATAGTAGCCCTATTCAGTAAGGAAGCAGAAGATGGAGGGAATTCTGGACTGGGAATTAGTGCTATTCATATGAATTGAATGAAGGACCCTTAAGTCAGAGAGGTGAAAATATTGTACCTTCATCAGAATTTAGAGGAGACTCATTTTCATCTGCTGAATTTCTATTATCATTTTGGGGATGTTCCTCCAAACACTTTTGAGTAGGCAATGGCAATTCTCCTTCAGGACTTTTTGAAATAATGTTATGTGATGCTTTAAAAAAAACAACAGATACTTACATTTTTATCCATTAAGCACTGGGATAACATAATAGAATTATTATACCCTGATTTTTCTTGAAATGTGGGAACAAACCATACATATGCATGTATACACACAGTCACACATAAACCAATACAAACATACATATCTGTGCACATACACACATAAACATATATACTCTTTGGAAATATCCTTTTTTGCCAGACTTAGCAGCAAAAATATGTGTAATAAAGGCAGTAACTAAGTATATATTGTTGTACATCACCCAGAGTCACTTTGTGTGAGATGGGTGGCTATATAAATACAATAAATAAATAAATAAATAAGCTTGGAAATATAGCTTTGGTCTAAAATGCCATTTCTCTATAGCAGCTGTCTGGATGATAACAACACCAATTAGCCAGGGCAATCTGAAGGGGATGGGAGAAAGAGAAGCCAAGGCATAAGAAATCCAAAATCTAAAGCTGTGCTAGGCTGGACTTAGAAGTTGGAGAAGGTGGGAAGCTGGAGGGAAAATATACAGGCCACTTCCATGGTTGGCACATTTTTCTCCTTGGTCCATGGACTTGTCAGGGGAATGGAAATATTTGGATCAAGTTGATTCCTAGCCTCTATTAATCCACTCCATACATATGCTCAGAATGTGTCCATTTGCCCTCTCTACCACTACAGTACTATTTTAAGATAAGCAGCAGTGACTGATTTTATTTATTTTATATTTTTTGCAAACACTGGGAAGAAGCTTCTGCATGCAATCCTCTTGGACAACTTTTCAAGAGCCATCAGAGTTCTAAATTAGTCTGTTCATCAACATGGATTGAGTCAAGTCGTTGTCATCTTTATATAATTTAGACTGTGATCCTTTGGTCAATGGGAGGATTTTTTAAAGATTCACTGTTGAAGTCAAAAAGAGAGGTCTGATTTCAGAGCTGGAGAATTGATTGGTCTATCAAATCTATATACCACCAATTTCATTAAACTCCTATCAGCTTATAACCTCAAATTCCTTTCCTTACTGTTTTAAAAGCATCTGCAGCCCCTTATTTTCCAACACTTGAAGAGAATAAAAGGGAATAAAAGGGAAAAGATTTGAGGAGTGGCAGCTGTGGGATTACAAATAATCTTAGCCACAATTATGCCCAAAATACAGAATCACAGTGTAATGAGAAGTTTAAAGAATCCCTTCTATTGTTCTCAGTAGGGGAAAAATTGGCCTTAGTCACCTTCCTTCTGCCTCTGGCATGAGCCTAGCAGAACTATGGATTGTTCAAGACCTCTCATGTCAGACACCCCCAAGAAGAATGGTAAGATTGTTCTATTGATACTTCATTATTACTTGGAAGAAATGAAATAAATATAGCACACAAAAAACAAAGTTTGGAACCCTGTTTGTTGATCTAAAAGCCCCTGGAGCTTATTAAGAATGTAGTGAAACCACTTCTTAAATAAATATTTCATATTAAAGAGAAGAAATGCTTCATATGTGTTTGCCGTTGGATATTTAACAATGACATATAATTCAAAATATTTCTCTATCCTTGTAGAGAGCTTCCAAATGATTTAGAGCTCTTCTAAATGAAGGACAATATTTACTAAGAGTAAACTGACTTGACAAACCCGGATGCAGATGTTCTGCCTATTCATATAAGAACCTGTTTTGCCAAGGATATTGCATGGGTGCAGTTACTAGGATTCAACTTAAAAATATCATAATTTTATACAGTCTGGAGGGTCACACCTAGGAATACTGTTTCTCCTAAATCTCATCCTCTCCTCTCCTCTCCTCTCCTCTTTTCCCCTTTCTTTGACTAAGGATCTTGCTGTTTGGGGATCTTAGAATTATTATTTATAATTTGGCAACTTCTAGATTAGAATTCTGTAGTGCTCAATGAAGGACTATTATCGAAGACAGTTTGGAAATTCCATCAGTCAGAAATGTGATTGTAAGTCACTTAATGGTGCTAACTGCACAGAACATATTGTGCAGTTATTGGAAGAATTGCATCAATAGCCAGCTTATTTTGAGGCTAAAATCAAGCCATTGTTACAGTATTGATAGTCCCATGTGGATTGCATCCATAATATTATAGCAAATATCTTCACCACTGCAACTAGTTTCAGGGACAGAGATCTCTGATTATTGATGCTCTGGATGAGGTGAGATAGATGCCCACAAAGACAGAGCCTTTGGGGATTCTGCACCCTAGCTGGGAAACATATTCCCTTATATGGTTCATGTGACTCTCTTTCTGTCACTGAAACTTCTAGTTCTTCAAAAGCTAAGACCTTCTTATTCTATCAAATATTTAGGAAATTATTTCCTGGTCTGCTGTTGTTTCTGTCTCATAGAAATTAGATTTTTGATATTTATTACTGTGGTACTTTTCTTATTTCAGCACATATATTTGTTGAACTTTATTATTTAGCTTAAACCTACATGTCAAATAATTGGCTGATCTGCAAGATCATGGTGTGTTACTGTAAATAAGCATGGGAATCTGCAGGGAGCAAGGAGGACAAATGATAAAACATGCATAATGACATTGTCACATAAATGCTGCGGCTTACATATTAGCATCAGGTATTAGACTGAAATATATAATGGTGGCATTTGCATGAAAATAACATTGTGTATATTTCATTTTAGCATAATTATGGTTTACTACACATAATGCTATACCTAAGGATCACCCTTCATCTTAATATTTCTGCTCTGAAGGAACCAATAATGATTTATGATTTCACTTACCAGTCTTCCTTCGTCTTATTTTAACAAGAATCAAAATAACTGGGACAGCAAGAAGTAGAAGTAGAACAGGAACTGGTATCACAATTGACAATAGATTTTGCTCACTGTAAGAAGAGCTGAAAATAGATACAGTACAAACGTTCAAAAGGTCCTTTACTAGAGTTTGGAGTTTCATGGTCCGAGACTAGTCATAAAAATTAATCAAATATTAAGACATAAAAATAATAAAAAGTTACAACAAAAGCCTGAAAAAGTTAATAATGCAAGGAAAGGACCAAATGACTTCTATAAGCTATATCTATTGATAAGAATTTTGCAAACTTCTTGGAGGTATCTGGAAATTGGCCACATAAAAGGAGAGGATTAGCATCTTGATCATAAAAACAGTTAAATACAGGTTAAATTTTTATCACATATGCTGTTAAAGTGCCTATTGCACACTGAGTGTAATACCAATTGTTAGAAAATTTAACTGTTCTCATGATCAAGAGGACTCTATCAGTCATGATGATTCCATCTAGCACTAAGGAGAATGATAGACGATAAGTTAAATCTTCTAGCCTTTAAGAAACCACCTCTTCATTCTATTTTCTTTTTCTTTTCTTTCTTTTTTTTGGGGTGGTGGTGGTGGTAGTGGTGGTTGCCTCTTTAAGCCAGTGAGTACGAATTATAACTGGTGGATTAATGTGAATTATTAACAGAACTGTTACACAATCAGATTAAATTATTATGTGTACATGCTTTCTGGGCATTATATATGGATAGGTTCATGGGGAAAAGGGACCACCAGCATTGGTATTTAATACCACACAATATTTGATGAAAGTTTACACTGTTAAACTAGTTTGCATGTAGCAGAACAAACTAATTGGCAATATAGACATTATTTCAACACTTGACCTGAATTCAATCACTAGATTTCTTACCAAGTTAAAGACTGAGCAACAGAATCATTACTGCTCAGATGAAGACTCATCTTGTTATTTCCTGTGGTCAAACAATTTTCTCAAGTTTTAGTGTTTCAAAACTCTAGCAGAAATTAGTGTGGACATTGTAATCAGTAGTATTTCTTCATACTGTGTTCAGCTTCCTCCCCAAATATTATCTATTTCTATTTCCAGAGACAGCCATTGGGGGGGGGGGCATCAAAAAAAGTTAAGATAAAGGTCATAATCATGTGATTCAAGTCCAAGAATTTTGTACATTCATGTGACACTGGCAAGTGTACAAAAGGGGAAACACTTCAATGATGCAGTTGTTTCCTTTCCTAGATTGGGAGGCCCTTCAAATAATCACTCATGCCATAGTCACCTCATGGCTTGATTACTGCAATGTGCTGTATATGGGGACACTCTTGAAGACCATCCAGAAACTTCAACTGGTCCAGAATGTAGCAGTGTGGGCAGTGAGGGGCAGTTTCACGAGCTGCACTGTTTCATAAGCTGCATTGGTTGCCAGTTTGCTTCTGGGTGTGATTCGAGGTACTTGTTATGACTTATGAAGCCTTGTGTGGCCTGGTTACTTGATGGATCCTCTATTTCTCGTGGTGTTGGCCCAGCCAGTTTGATTCAACATGGTTGGCACACTCTGGGTTTCTTTGATTAAGCAGTGCCATCTATTGGAATCTTGGAAACGGGCCTTTTCTAGCAAGATCCCTGCCCTCTGAAATAAGGTTCCCCAGAGAGGACCCTGTTATTTACTGATTGGAAGAACAGTTGTTTTTATCTCATCTGGTGCACCTGTTGGCATTCTGGGGGGCCTTAAAGACCTGGCTCTTCTCCCAGGCTTCGGGCTAGCCTGGTTGGAGCTCCTTGTTGGGTGCATATGTTTGCAGTTGACTGGATTCACCTTCTTGTTTATTGTTATGGGGGAGGGGCTGCTTGCATTTTGTTGTTTGTTTTTATGCTATGAGCCACCCAGCATCGATTGGAGTTAGGCCACATCTAAGGCGAATAACTAACTAAATAACAGGCATACTTCCTTTTTTATTCCCTCTGCAGACAGTTTCCAATATAAGTATGTAATAGCAAAGAGATCTGCACTTGCAACTGGAGTTATAATGATTAGGTCTCAGCTTCAAGCCCCTGGCATTGCTTTAACTAGCACTCTCCTCAGTGTTGTATAACCAACAAAGTCATGGCCAAAGTCGGAATCAGGCGCAGCACATTTATACCATATTATAGCAACTCTCCCCAGCTTGGGACCATCCAGAAAGAGCTGGTGCCAGTGCCTAACCACTAGGTTTTTGCACTAAGTTGGGGAAGGCAAAATTAGAGCAAGCTGATACAGTCAATTTGAAACAAATATAAGACAGAAGTAGAGAGCTCAGACGAAGGGCTAAGTTGGAGTCACCATAAAGCCCTGGCTATTCTCTCATGCCTTGGGCCAGGATGGCTGGAATCCCCTCTGCTGGAAGTGGGATGTTTTGGGGTGTCTGACAGGTTCACCATTTTGTTCTTTTTTTGCTTTTTCTTCTGTTCTAGTTTGAATTTGTTTGCTTCTTGGTACTATACTGTTTTTATATTGCCTGGTGTATTATGAGCCACCCAGAGTCATTTGGAGTCAGGTGCCATCAAATCAAATTTGATCAATCAATCAAACGACAGGAAAGGTGCCAGAAAAAAATTAGGAGTCAGCAGAGAGGATTAAGAGCTGCTCCATTTGGCATCTGTCTTTTGTGCATGATGGAATAACTCTTTCCTTTTTTTGCTTATCATTAATGCTCAAAACAAGATTACTCAATTAATCCAAAATTACCTTTGAATGGTGATGGGAACTGCACATTTGTTTGGTCATAGGAAGGCACAGCTCTTTAGCTTTAAAACATTTAATTGCTGCAGGGACGTAGCTGTTGCCCTACATGTTGAATATCTAATTATTGCAGTAGAGGCTGTTTGGGCATGCAGAGAAAGATCTGAGGAGTAAAGCTTCCAGGAAGAAGATGACTGGAAATAAATGTGAAGATATTTAAAAGACTTTATCTGTTCAGTTTGGTTGCTGTTGATCTTCCAACTGTGAGAGTGATTAGTGTGCTGCAAGGTGAATACTTCTTGGTTTGTGTGTGATTAATTTCTAGTATTTTAGGTTGGCAATAGGAAGCTAATGTGTGAAGCCTCTGTTGCAACCCTACTTGAGATACAGACAAGATTACTCATCATCAGCATAGAGCAGAATGGAGGTTGGTTTAGTGGCCAAGGAAGGAGGATGGAATTCTGCTTTATTAAGAAACTGAACAATGAATGTCATTGATATAAAAATTAAATAATGAGGGTGGGAGGAAAATACATCTCTGCTTGAATCCACTAGAAGTTGGAATAAGGTCAGTCAGTTTTCCACTATTTGAGCATTGGATCTGCTTTGTAGTACTTTCATGTAACATCATAAATTGCACAAGCAGGCAATCAATAGAGGAAACTGCTAATTTTTGCCACAACCTCTCATAAAGGATTGAGTCAAAGGCTGCATTCAGATCTATAAAAGCAGCATAAAGAGCACCTCCAGGAGGAATAGTCTACTTTGCAAGAGGCGGTGCCAAGTAATACATCGATCAGCAACAAAAAAACCTGATCTGAAGCTGGCTTGTTCCACTGCTAAAAGTCTTTCTTGAACCATCCAATCAACAAGCTTACAGTAAAGATGTTTAGTGTATAATTTACTAATTATGCATAATAAATGGATTGGATGGTAAAATGATGATACAGATTATCTATGTTTTGCTTACCTTGTAGCAGAAGCTGCATTTTGTTTTCTAACTGAAATATACATCTCCCCCAATATAATAAGCAATAACATGGTAAAAAAAAAAAAAAGAAGAAGGGAGACTGGCTCACGTTTAATTAATTAATTAATTGCAATGGAAGAACTGTTTCTATTCTTTTTTTCCCAAGTATAGTTTTTGGTTAAGTTGTTTGAGAGAATAGATGCATGCATTCCAGAGTTTAATGCCTTTTCCCCCCTGCTAGTATATTCCAGTAATATGCTGGAATATACTAGTACTGTAATATACTCGTATGTAAGCCCATTCGTGGATAAGCCGACCCTTGAATTTTTAACCAAAATACCATAAAAAATGTACCACCCATGGATAAGCTGACCCACATTTTTCATGGTATTTTGGTTAAAAATTTGAGGATCTGCTTATGCGTGGATAAGCTTATATGCAAGTATATACTGGAAATATGGGTACTTTAAAAAAGTATTATCATATATACGTGTGGACAAGTCCATCCATGGATAAGCCAAGCCCCATTTTTGGGGTGTATTTTGGCACCTAAAATTCTTGGCTTATCCACGAGTATACTTGCAATGTCTAAATTTGGAATATAAATAAATAAATAAATTCCAGAAATATAGTGGAATATGCTATGGAGTTTGGCATTGTTGATTATGAAATTGAGTTTTAAAAATAGCACAAACTAAACCTCAGAGCTTTGGGCTGTATTCAGACTTAGCCATGCTTTGAACAGACCCAGTTGAAAAAATAGAAATAAGTTGAGTCTGGATCCAACTATTTGACTACTCCAGTGCACCCACCACTTAAATAATAAGTTTCTCTATGTGTGATCATGAAGTCACGATTCTCCGATATGCTATTTATTCCAGTTTCTTATTCTTTCCTGGGTCTTAGTTGTCAAAGGATCCTGTCTGGGGATGTCTAGTTTGGAGACAAGTCCAATAAAACGTTTGAAGCTTACATTTCAGGTAAATCCTGATTACAAATGAGGTGGAAAATGCTTCAACTAGAAACCATGTGTGTTCACCAACTATACCTTTCTTTGTAGACTTCATCTTTAGATGTCATAAGCCAGTAGGAAGATGCATTAACAGTCAGCGATTCACTTGTAGTTTGGGCATCACTTAGGATATTAGAGAAAACAGATTCTGTTTAAAAAAAAAAATAGAATGATGCTGTAGCTGGAAATTAATGAAAGCATGTTTCTGTATCAAGATGAAAACCTTTTTGTTTTTTATATATTAAAAATCAGCCTTGCATCTGAGTACCATTATTTGGAATTTTCAGAAACACATTAGAAGAATTGTAGCCAACAGGCATAAATGTTGGAAGTTGCAATCTAAGGGGCCTTCCCACTCTTATCTTTTGCTCTAGAAAATAGTGGTGGAGGAATATGGCAAGCACTATGCAAAGGCTATTTGCAGGGCTGCCTATCTCCCATCATCTTTGCTTTCCTCACCAGATCTAGCTGGGAAGGCATGCTCCAGATCCCTTCCATTAAACAATGTGATCTCGTTGAACCCCAGAATCATGACTTCTCTGTGGCAGCATCTGCCCTATGGAACAGATCCCTCTGGAGATAAGGATGGCCCTGATCCTGTTAGCCTTTGGTAAGTATTAAAGACCTGGTTGTGCCCCCAGGCATTTGGGTCATATGGTTAGGGGAGCTCTGCTGGTTAACATTGGTTAATATTGTTCCTTATGAGTTGGATTGTGTTTGAGGACTCAGATATTATGGTTTTTGTTAAACTGTTAAACTGTTGTTTTTAATCCTCATATACCACCCAGAGTTACTTTTGGGAGATAGGTGGCCTTATAAATTGTTTAACTAAATAAATAATCATTAAATCAAAATTCTTTTCTGATGTCAACAGCCATGGTCCCACCTGTACCTGTGCCAGCCAGCTATCCGGTTAGCAACTAGATATAAATTCACTGAGCACTGGGAGACCAATAAGGTTGAATTTTCCTATCCTCCTGCAAAGTGACAATTTTTGGTATGGATATTATTTCACCAATGTCTGTTGTGCCAGAATGCTTAGAACTCAGCATCATATGCCTTCACAAAAACACAGAAACATAGGAATCTGCCTTATACTAACTCACATCTGGGGTGCATTTAGATTAGTATTGTCTACACTCACTCTCCATTTCAGAATGGAGCATTTCCCAATTCTGCCTTGAGAGCAATGATTATACCTGTGACTCCTTGCCTACAAAGCATGTGCTTTACCAGTGATCTTCAGCCCTTCCTTTTATGAACACATGCACATTCTGGACTGGCCACCAGCTACACAAAAAGTCAATGCTAGTTAAACAGCATTTGCAGGACTGCAAGTAGGACCTCACGTAATCAGATGTTTTGCCATATTTACAGACAAAGGAACTTTGTATGTAGAAAAATAGTTTCTAATAATCATATTTTTATGTATAGAGATTTTTCTTTTGAAAAATTTATTTTGAAAGTTTTCTCCTATTTGAAAAAAATGGCAAAGTTACTAAAGAACAAAGGTCAAATTCAACAGTTTATTGCTTCTGAATTTCAGATGAGCCTTTAAGATAAGGAAACTAAATGTCTTGACAAGTTATAGTCTGTTGTATTTGATATTCCCCTCAGGAAAGTGGTATTTAGAAGGGATTTTGGTAATTAGTATTAAGCCTACACATTTTCAAAGAATTGCAGGTAAACAGACATTTTTCCAAATGCTGCATGTGATTCCATCTGCATACATTTTGGAAAGCAGTTTAATTTAATGGTGGAATTTTGTCTGAATTAAGAATAAGAAAAAATATTTTGAGCGCAAGCTCTTGACTAACTGGAACTAAAAGATAGTCTGAAAAAAAGAAATGGCTTGATGCGTATATTCGGTAGGGGGAAATAGAACTGCAGGATGCCCAGACTGATCCTGTTTAATGTTAATTTAGAACAGGTACAGGCAGTTGTGTGCTGATATAACAACCAGCTCTGCCAGCTCCATTGCTACTACCATCATGACATGAGCTGCCAAACAGCTGATTGGCATGCTAGGAGTTGTGGCTCAACTCTGCTCTCAACTGGCTCACAAAATTACAGAAAATTTAACAATCGGCTCTCACGAGCCAAAATGTACCAAATGAAAGGTGAATGAAGAATGGAATACAGAAGGGCTGGGATGAGAGATGGTGGATGGTAAAAACTGTGGGGGAAAGAGTGAGAAGAGCAAAGATATTGATAGGAGGATTTGTCCAGTGAAAAGAAAGTTAACCCTTTTGACCCCCCTTCCAAGGAATGAAGAGGACTGCTCATTTAAGGAAAATCATCATGGAGAACATACTAGTTAAGAATGTTCTTCAAAGGGGGAGGGGGAAGAAGCACATTTTGGTTCCAAAAGCCATCATGGGAGTTGGATAGCTGGCTGGGGAATTCCAAGAGTTGAAGTCCACACATCTTAAAGTTCCCAAGGTTGAGACACGCTGCAATAGGCGATGACTAGAATCGCATGTATGCCTAGAGCCAACAGCATGGAGTTGGAGAACTGGATAAGAATAAGGGATTGTAAAACGAGGAGTCAGTTTCCTCTCTTGATTTGTTTTTCTTCAGCTTCTGTGCAGTTTGTTTTATGAGGCCACAAATATGCTTTTACATTTTTTCTCTTAAGGCTTACCCTCTACCACCTGCAGTTGTATGGTTCTTGCACTTGCATTCTTGTCCAGTTTCCTTGTCCTGCATATATAGATTCCAGAGTCTTTTCTTTCCAGCTTATTTATAATAACATTGAAAGTTCCTGAGCTATTCCCATTGGTCATAATAATTCGGTGACTGTGCTGTCTAGTCCTGCTTTTGCTTTTGTCTAGTATGGGAAAACAATCAGTATGGATCAACTTGCACAATATGTTCCTCATTTCTGGCCTGGGAGTTTCAGATGGACATTGGAGCTCCACCGACCCAGTCAGCTTACCCCAAACAATTTGAGGGGATTTGGGCAAATCCAAGCCTGTTTGGAGAAATTAAACCATCAGATCTTATTATGTATTAGTTTTCCTATCAGTCTGAAGCAACTACTTGAAAGAGCATTTGAGTACTTTATTTGCTAAAAAGAAAAGAATCAAAGGCATGACAAATTGTCCATCAGATAGGAACAAAACATTATGCAATTCAAGTTATATTTCCCAAATGCACAGCAAGAGGAACAAATTAAATTAGTATGTCTGGCAATTCTAATCATTCACAGAAACTCTTTTTACATTTTTTTCAGAGACTGTGCTTTGAACAGATACAATGGAATTTAATTTAAATGGAAAAGTCATTCTAAAAAGTTGTTTCTGTTGGGGAACAGATATCAGAAATGTTAAATAGCTGTGCCAGACTGCCCAACTTAAATGACTCCAGATAGTTTGGATTACAACTTCCATCATCCCCAGCCACTCAGACTGGAATATCAAAAGGGCACGATCTTGGAAACGAATAAGCAATGCTCATTTAAGATCAGTCAAGTAAGGTGACACCAAGCAATATCTCTAATTTATTTATTTGTGTTTTTTTTTCAATTTGTACCTACTTTAATTAGGTGGTCAGTGGTTCACAAAGTGCATTAATTCATTGTTTCTGCTAGAAAATGTTGTGCACTGTAAATCAAACATTACAGAATCTTATCTCAATACCATTTGAGTTTTTTTTCCCAGACTAAAATGTTTGATCCTGTGCAGTCCTGGTTTGTTCAGAACACAGCTCTAAAGATAAATCTATCCATTCCTTAATAAATCACATGGTAACTTTCCAATCTTGCAATATAAGTCATTATAACTTATTTGTTATCAGTGATTCGAACACCTTGGGTAACTCATTAATAATGAGTTAATAAATTCAAATATTGAGCTAATAAATTTAAATAAATAAATAAATAAATAAATAAATAAATAAATAAATAAATAAAATTAACAAGCCCCTCTTGTGATCTGGTTTCATGCCCAGCATTATTACACTGTGATAACCTCAATATATCTTTTTAATTAGTAAAGTATTGTCACATTTAATTTTACATTTTAAGGACCGTCTCTCCCCAGTTGTTTCTACCCATCCCATCAGGAATGGCAGTGTTGGCCAGTGGGGCCCAAGAGGAAAGCCTTTTCTGCCATGGTGCCCACCTTCTGGAATATCATCCCTCTGGAGATCAGATTGGCCCCCTCCCTACTGGCTTTCTGTAAGGCCTTGAAATGTTGGCTCTGTGCTCAAGCTTGGACCCCTGAGTGGAGATGGAACCTGTTTCTTGGTTGTGTTGAGTGACTGATTCATGTTTTTGTCATTTTTTCCAGCTGCTGTATATTTTTCCCAGCTGGGGAGGGACTTGAAGACCTGGCTGTGCCATCTGGCCTGGGGTGTGGAGGGGGGTCATCAGATATGGGGTTGGCTAGCCCCCTAGAGGCCTGGTGTTGCTTCCATTGGCCTCCTGGATTTTCCCTCTTCCTTTTACTCTGTGTAAATGTGTTTTTATAAATTTTAACTGTATATTTATTTATTGTTTTAATATGCTGTAAGCCGCCCAGAGTCCTCCATTGAGGGGAGATGGGTGGGGATACGTTTGATAAATAAATAAAATAAAATAAAAATTTTATGGTTTTTGTATATGTTTTTATCATTTTGAATATTGCTAGCCTCCCAGAGTCATGTATTTGGGATGGGCATATAAATCTAATAAATAATAAATTAGGCACCAGACATAACCCTCTGAGAAAGCACTTTCAGATCTGGGGTGCCACCAGAGAGGACTCTCACTTCCAGGCAGCAACCACTGTGCCCAAATCCATACTGTGTCCTTAAACTGCTCTTGCCCTGTGTCCAAGCTAGGCTGAGTCTAAGCAGTCTTAAGAAAATACTGTCCAGAGATGCTCTGGCAGCAGCTTGCGAAGTATCCAGGCCAGACTGCAGGTTCCCACAATTTCTCTGCTGCTGGGCCCTATCAGAAAGGAAGTAGGAATTGCTTTCCTTTCTATGGGTGGGTCTTACTGGAGATATAAATTGTTACATGTGTGTGCACATCATATATACACACACATCTAAAACTTGCATACAAAGTTAAATTAAATTCATATATACAAAGATAATGAATGTATATGCAGACACAATAACCAGCTTTAGAATAAAAATGCCTTTCTTGTATTTTTCATGTTTTTCCTCATTAAAGTCCATTACCTGCCTATTACAGCAGACTTTTCTCACCAGCACAGTGGTTACAACATTTGTCTGTCATGCAGAATGTGTCTGATTTGAAACCCAGCAGGAAATATGTTTTATGTGTTTTAATTACTATGTTTCCTTCCCTGAACTACCTACTTTTCTGCTGGGCTTTTTTTTTTTTTTAAAGTCCCCTGAGGCACTGTGGACTGTCCTTACAAAAGTCTAGTGATACACACACACACACATACACACACACATCCATAAAAATATGAGCATTTTGAATACCATGTGTAAGTTTGCCATTGCAATCAGTAGTAAACATGCTTAAATATGGATGTCACTTAATTCAAAGAGGGTAAAGGAACATATACTGTATTTTTCTGTCAATAAGAC